GTGACCTGGCTTGTCCTGCTCCATCGCTGGTTCCGTGTGGTCATTGTTGACTTCGGGGTTGACCGGAGTATCGATCCTTCTGGCGCTCTTGTCGCTGTCTTTACTGTTGCTGGACTTGGAACAGCGTCTGCGCCGTTGCTTTGGCTTTTTCCCGGGGGTTTTATCTTCCGGGTTGTCGCCATTGTCCTTCTTGGGCGTATCCACCATGTATATGTCGTGTGACGAGGCGGAAGTCCGGCACCCCATGGATTCTAAATATTCTCCTGCATCGTCGTCCATACCGTCGATGCCTTCGGAGTCGAAGTCAAGCACGTTGGTTAAATCATCGACCGTGGCAATGAAGTGGGTGGTGGGTGGGTAACGAATTTCCTCGTCGCATGCTTCCTACTCTAGCCGAACATAGTTCGGCCCGAATTTTTTTGTCAAAGAGAGAGTTTTTAATGAGTTCAACATGTGGCCAAAGGGCGAGTGCTAGAAGATATCTGCAGTAGCGAACTCTATTATCGGAGCCCCACCTAACTCGGTTGGCTCGAGAGTGCGCGGACTGGAACCAACAACCGGATACGAATCCGGGGGTCCAATGTTAGAGGTCACCGCAGAGGTGAGACCCGTGTTCAGCTCCACCGCCGATGAGTGTGCAGCATGTGGGACGGAGTCTAGCCCTTCGTCTTTAGGTGATGCAGCCTGCTCCGGATTTGAGTTCGGGGCTACTGCAGGGGTAATATCCCGAGTGTTGTCCGACAGCAGGTCAAAACCATGCCCGTCGTGACTGTCCGGTGTTCCTGGCGCAGGCCCGAATTCGTTGAAGATCAGGCCTCCGCAAAGGTCAGACGTGTAGTTCAGGTTTCCGAACCTGATCTGGTGGCCAGGAGTGAATTGGCCCGCAATGCGACGCCGTCGAACACGAAAATCTGTCCGGGGAGGAAAGTCTCACCCTGGACCGTGTCGTTGACGATGATTGAAGGAGCCATCGAGCCCTGCAGCGACGACACAGAGGAACTCTCAATGAAAGCACCAATGTCGGTGTCAAAACCGGCGGATCTTGGGTAGGGGGTCCCGATTTATGCGTCTAGGCTGATGGTAACAGGAAGCAAGGGACACAGATGTTTACCCAGGTTCGGGCCCTCTCGATGGAGGTAAAACCCTACTTCCTGCTTGATTAATATTGAAGATATGGGTAGTACAAGAGTAGATCTACCACGAGATCGTTAAGGCTAAACCCTAAGAGCTAGCCTAAGATGGTATGATCGTAATTGTGATCGGCCTTCTAAGGACCATCCTCTCCGGTTTATATAGACACCGGAGAGGGCTAGGGTTTACATGGAGTCGGTTACAAGGAAGGAAACACAATATCCGGATCGCCAAGCTTGCCTTCCACGCCAAGGAGAGTCCCATCCGGACACGGGCCGAAGTCTTGAGTCTTGTATCTTCACGCTTCAATAGTCCGGGCGATGTATATAGTCCGGCTGTCCGGATACCCCCTAATCCAGGACTCCCTCAGAGGGGATGTAATTTTTTACTACCGCTCTAGAACGGTACTAACGTGGCCACTTCCGTTCCGGACCAAAATCTCGTATTAAGTCCAGCAGTGGTAGTCACGGATGTACTTTTTTAGTACCACTTGCAGGCAGCAGTACCGCTACCCTTAGCGATAGTACCGCTACCCCTAGCGGTAGTATCATGAGGACGAGCGGTAGTACCACTCCGACTGTTCTACTGGCCTTTTCCTCCTCGATGTTGTTTTTCAAAGGGCTTCCACCGCCCTAGCGGTAGTATCGCTCCCAAGAGCGGTAGTACCGCTCTGTGCGGGCTATGAGCATAACGATTGGATTTTTCCCACGTATAAAAGGGGGTCTTCTTTCCCAATGAACCATATCCTTTGAGCTCGTGTTCTTCCCCCATTGTTGACTTTCTTTGAGCTTTCTATCTCTCAATCCCTCCATGGATTCTTGCTAGTTTTTGGTGTAAAAGAGAGAGGAGATCTAGATCCACATTTCTACCAATCACTTTCTCCTCTAATGTGAGGGGAACCCCTTGGATATAGATCTTGGAGTTCTTGGTGTTCCCCTTCTTGTTCTTCCTCTCATTTTACTCCCTAGAATTAGTTGCTTTGGTGGGATTTGGGGGAGAAGGACTTGGGCACTCCATGTTCCTTGCCATTGCATTTGATGCATCGGTTTGAGTTCTCCACGTTGATATGTGGAAGTTACAAGTTGAGAAGCTTATTACTCTTGGGTGCTTGGTACCCTTGAGCTTGTTCCTCTTGGGTGCTTGGACGCCCTAGACGGTTGGTGGTGTTCGGAGCTCAATCATTGTGGTGTAAAGCTCCGGGCAAGCATCGGGGTCTCTAATTAGGTTGTGGAGATCGCCCCGAGCAATTTGATGGGTACCGGTGACCGCCCCCAAGGGTTGCGAGAGTGTACGGGTTCGGTGACCGCCCCCAAGGGTTGCCATTTGTATGGGTTCGGCGACCGCCCTCAAGGGTCCCTTAGTGGAATCACGACATTTTGCATTGTGCGAAGGTGTGAGGAGATTACGGTGGCCCTAGTGGCTTCTTGGGGAGCATTATTGCCTCCACACCACTCCAAATGGAGATTAGCATCCGCAAGTGTGTGAACTTCGGGATAAATTGTCGTCTCCGCGTGCCTCAGTTATCTCTTACCCGAGCCCTTTACGTATGCACTTTACTTTGTGATAGCCATAGTGTTTCATGTTATATATCTTGCTATCACATAGTTTTTTATCTTGCTTAGCATAAGTTGTTGGTGCACATAGGTGAGTCTAGTTGTTGTAGGTTTTGTGCTTGACAAATTAACCGCTAGGTTTATTTCGCATTTGTTCAAGCCTAAACAGTAATTATTTTAAAAGCGCCTATTCACCCCCCCCTCTAGGCGACATCCACGATCTTTCAACAAGGCTGCGGGAAAATTGGCACCTTGGACAGGAAGGCAAGTTGCTATTGCGGGTCGACCTTGGTGAAGGCAGGCCTTACGGCGGTGGCCATTTATCACATCACGCCGGTCGGCATCCCTGTGGAGGTTCTAAAAACGATTGACAAGTTGTGGCGTGCCTACCTTTGGGCAGGATCTGACATGGTTAGTGGCGGCAAGTGCAAGACTAATTGGGAGCATGTCTGCAAGCCAAAGGAATATGTGGGCCTTGGCATTTTGCACCTTTGCAAGCTTGTTGCCGCCCTCCGGCTGAGGTGGCTATGGCTTGAGTGGAATGACCCACCTCGTGCGTGGTGTGGATTGGGGATGCCTTGCATGACATCTAACTGCGACCTTTTCGCGGACTTGACTGAGGTCAAGATCGGCGATGGACAGAAGGCTTCCTTCTGGGAATCTTCTTGGCTTCAGGGTGTTAGGCCCAAAGATATTGCACCAAAGTTTTTCGATATTTCACGCAAGAAAGGTGTTACGGTCGCCACGGCCTTAAGGGATGGGCACAGGATAACACAAATCAACATTGACACTGGCCTCACTCTAGAACACCTTCAACAATTCTTGGCCCTTTGGGAGAAGCTAGCGACTGTGGCCATTCAGCCGGATGTCCAGGACTCTATAGTGTGGAAGTCAACCAATGATGGGAAGTACTGTGCAAAGTCCGCTTACTTGGCGCAGTTTCATGACATCCCGCTCTCAAGTTTGGCTGCTACGGTCTGGAAGGCGTGGGCTCCCCCCAAATGCAAATTTTTCGCCTGGCTTGTTATCCAAAACTGAGTTTGGACGGCTGATAGACTTCATAGGAGAGGATGGCCAAATTGTGACAAAAGCCCACTCTGCAGTCAGGTGCAAGAATCTGCAGCACACCTGATCTTCAAGTGTCGTTTCTCTGTCCGGATTTGAAATGTGGTCTTCTCATGGCTTGGGCTTGTTCCCACGGCCCTGTGGCTCCTGTTCGATTCGATAAAATCTTGGTGGGATGCGGTCCTCTCTGATAACACACTCCCGATGAAGGCCATGTCTTCCCTGTTGCTACTTGTGGGATGGGAGATCTGGAATGAAAGGAATGCTCGTGTCTTCAGGAGCAAAGCGGCGCCGGTGGCGACTGTCGTACGACGCATCAAACAGGAAGTTTCTATTTGGGCCACTGCGGGCACTAAGCATTTGCATAATGTAATGCCGTGAGAGTAATTGTTTTGTTTTTCTGCTGCTTGGCGATGTCTGTTCTGAAACCTCTTCTTATTCAATGAAAATGGCAAGTCTTTTACTTTGTTTCAAAAAAAAAGAGCAAGGAGCGTGATATATCGTCGTTCGACCCAATGATTGAAGAGGTCAAACAAATGTTGGAGACACACCAGAGGTGAGGTGACGTAGGTCAGACGCACTGCTAATAGTGCAACCCATGGGTTAGCTAAGGAAGGGGTTTTGAGTAATTTGTGTAAAGTTTGGCTGCATGAACCTCCTGAGTGTATTTTGCACATTATCTTGACAGAGATCACTGCCTTTTATGAATAAATAGAGAATGTGGTGAATTAAAAAAAGATACACTTGGGAACGAAAAGAAAACCCAACATAACACATTGAAACAAGACATTTTAAAAACAGCTAATAAGTCGCACGAATCTTAAAGCTGCCATGAACGGTGGATCCATACACGGATATCCCGTGCACGGTATAACTGATTTTCTCTACCTTGCGATTCATCATAAAGCCAACAGATATGGAAATAGGACGCAAATATATACAGATTTTATTTTCTAGGATGAGAAGATATGTACATTTTTTAGTGCCAGCTCGACTAATGGAGTGATATGCAGGATAGTACTACTGCTAATTTACATCATCGGGGTGATCTGTCAGTTGTAACTGTCCTGTCACGAGTCTGCAAAGTCTTGCCCGGTTTCAGCGCGCGCACTCGTCGCCATGGATGGCACGGCGCCGCGGCATGGGCGCGCGCGCAGTGCTAACTGGCCTGCAGGAAAAGGACCAAATGGACACGGCTGTCCCGCCTCTGCAATGTACAGAGTCTGGGCGCACGAACGAACGACCGATCGATCATGAGACGAGCTTCTCGACGGCCACCCCCTGCAGCAGCGGCCGCGAGTCATTGTGCGGCGCCGCCATGACGCCGCGGCGGCGAGGGAAGGAGGGGCGGTCGTCGGAGTCAGACGACGAGACGCGGCGGAGGACGTCGCGGAGGTGGTCCTCGTCGCAGGGGAGCGCGAGGGGCCCGGAGGTCGACGGGAAGCCGTACTCCTCCTCCGCCTGCCGGAGGAGCTCCCGGAACGCGGGGTGGCTCAGCTGTGCCACCGGCACCAGGAACCGCATCGACGACGACTCCCCGTGGCCACGGCTCTGAACGCGCACGGCCACGTGCCCCGCCGGCACGGCGGCGTCCAGCATGTCCTTTACGGGCCGCACTGAGGCCGCCGCTCGGCAGCACCACCGTCGCACGGCGCGGCGCAGCCAGGCGAGAGACTGGACCGTGCTGATGACCTTGCACATGGTTGTCGACTCTTGGCTAGCTCTGCTCCGCTGTTCTCTGTCTCGACTCTTTGAGCTTGCATATGGCGGGTCGTGGGGTGGGATGGAGTATCTGGAGAGCGGGACGGGGTGGCAATATATAGCACCGGGGCTCGGGCTCGGTCACTTGGAGTTGGCGGAAATTGCAGGAACCGTGGATCCGTGATGACTTGGACGTGTGTCGTGTGTCTCGCACGTGAGACCTAGCAGTAGCATAGCACTAGCAGTCTATGCAGTAAAGCGGGTTGTAGTATCATTTCGGGTGAAAGTGAGACGAGTGAAGTGTGGCCGATGTCTATTTCACAAACTCACATGATAGACGTTACTTTCTGTTGGAGGCGATTCGAAGTAGACTCTTCACAAAGTATTTGAACTAATCTTTCCCACAAGAAAATCATTTCTCGTTTAGTGCAGCTTAATCCGTTCAACTCTGTCTCTCTTTTTTTCACGGGAAAGCACTCTAGTGCACTTTATTAAATTGTGAATAAATTTACATATTCAAAAGCTCGTTCAAAATAAAACTCGGGAGTATTAACACCATCTTAGGAGATTATAGAATTTGAATCAAAAGAGCAACAAGTTAACTTGTGAGCAACTTGATTAGCTTTTCGCGGACAATGCTTGAAAGAAAAGTCGACCAATCCTTCCCGCAACCAAGAAGATTTCTGCTTGGACGGCAGTATACGGACTCCAAATTTTGATGATTCATGTACATGACTGAATGAGCTTCAAGTGTGAGGGGAATCTCGATACGTCCGCTTCGGCTAGTAGTTTAGGTTAGATTTTTTTTCTTTCTCTGCAGGTGCGGCGCTTGGGCGGATGTCAACGCTTCGTCTTGGAGTTTGTCTTTCAGGCTCTTATCCTCCTTGGGTTCGTTTGTCCGAACATAGTCGATGAAGCTCCGACATAGATTATTGCCAGGTCTTAGGGGCAGCGAGGTTAGGCTTTCTCGTCGTGTGACGAGATTTGATGTCAGGTGCTTTATATCTATTCAGTAGTTTAACGGCAAAGACTGTGGCTCTAGGGTCTTCGTCCTTAGAGGAACATGCATGAAGCCTCCCCGGCTGTGATCACAAGGTCAAGCCGACTCAGATAGAGGAGCGGCGCGTCAGCTGCTTGTTCTAGTGGCGGTAGCGGGTGTTCGGAGGTCTAGGAACCTCAATGTATGTTTTTAGTACATTTGAGGTGCTTTGTATGTTTATATTATATTTGGATCATTTTCAAAAGAAAAAATAATATTCCAGTCAGATAACTCTGTCTTGGATGAAAAGCTCGTCCATCTGTGCTCGAGTCCAAACCGGTGTGAAAACTATCACGGTTCTGCATGCATTTCTTGGCCCCCGTGTCCCAGGGAGGACCAGACTAGAGAGGGCAGCCCCGGAGGGTCGGACCAGGCTAGCTAGAGAAGCAACTACCGGCGTCACTGCCGCGGTGGCAGTGCAGACCACCTGACCATGCATCCACGAGTCTGCGGCACCGTCCAGGGCCGCGCCGAGCGCACCGATGGTCCGGTTCGGTACGCCATTGGCATCTGCTGTTTGTTCGTTGGTACGGTCTACCTTAAAGGCGCTAGCTAACTAGCTCCCAGTCCCAGTCCCACTCCCAGATCCAGTGAACCAGGCAAAGCAAGCAAGGCGCCATGCATTAAGAAGCTGGATCCACTGACGTACGCCGGTCATTCTCCATATGACGCATGCGTTTGGTGTGCCGTCTCACGGATCTTGGTTTCCCTTCTTCCTAAACCTCCACGTTTTACTCTCCTCTTCCACCGCATACGTTGTTCACGGTTGAGCGGGCACGGCTTGTGCTTGGTTTGCATTTATCGTTTTGGGTCTATCCGATGATCCACCCACCTTTTAGGTGTGTGTGTGTGTGTCCATGAAAATTCCATCTGGATGGATATGCAAATATCTATGGATTGTGCTGCTGGCACGTGCTTCAAATATATCTCTAGATTGTCCCATGCCTTGTGTTCTAGACTATGCTGATAGATCTTTTCTTGATTTCCCGCGAAAAAAAGAGCATTTCTTGATATTGTGTTCAGTTTGGATGGAATAAAATTTATGTTTCCCAAATGAACACAATAGAACTCCTCGTCCAGATGGACTTCTTATTGAGTTAAATTTTGGCCTTTAGTTTGTCACGATCTTCATTATCTTTTACAGGAATTGTACTAGATTTTATATTGCTAGATATAGTTATGGTATTCTCACTTTCTAAATGTGTAGATCCTGTCAAAATTCAACATTACATGCCAATTTGTCTTCTTAATATGTATTTTATGATTTGTAATAAAGTAAAAGGCAGTAGAGTTTTCAGCGGTCTTTAATTTAACGAACAACTTTTAAAAAAGATGGATACCCCCTTTGGATGGCGTGGTCTTGCCATAAAGGTGTTGCATGGAATTCATAGGAACAAGGGATCATTTGTCTTATTTAAAATGCATTTTGACAATACTTATTATACATTTAATTAGTCATTGTTTAAAGTAGACTTTGATATGATACATTTAATTGGTATTTATTTTAATCGGATTATGAGAAGACTTATGAAATGTTCATATTTTATTTTCTGCAAATATATGCTATAATAGGGTTGGCTGCCGGATTTGGGTTTATAATGCAGTTATTGTAAACCTTTCAGAACTAGAAAAGAGTTGAGACAAGAGAATTATTTGTCCCACATTTTGTTAAACATTGTAGTAGATGATTTTACCATGATGATTAATAATTATAGTGAAATATATTTTATTACTAAGTTTACCAAATAATTTAGTACAAGGCGGCATGAACATGCTGCAATATGCAGATGCAACCATCTTCGTGTCTCTGAATAATTTGAATCATTTACTACATTTGAAATTTTCATACGTCCTTAAGATCATCCCTCGCATTTATAGGTTGATTTTTTCAAAATGACACCTCTCCTGTTTTGGTGAAGAAAAAATATATAATCCAAGATTATAGACTATTTTTATACATGCAGATGGCAGTTATCTTTTAAAAATGCGGACATTTTGTGTAGTTAGATAGTTAGTCTTAATAATATGGATTAAACAAGTACTAACGAGAAGTTTCATTCTATATGGTATCCATGTTAAATTGTCGAGAGGTCATGGTAAATGGTTTGATTTTTATAGGAAATGCGAGTGAGCCTACGATTTATAGTTAGCTTGTATTAGTAGATCGACATGTGCCTTACTAAATGGACCTGGAAAATTGACAATGAACATCAGATTTGTCAGAAGTTTATTAGAGATAAATATATTAGGAACTGCATGTTGTCCTAGTGAAAGGAAACATTTGGACAATCACACTTGAGGTGGGGTTTAGTGGAAGTACCAGAAGTATTCTTTATTTTCTATTAAAACAACAAGAAATGGAAACAGAGCTATGTATTGGGAGGGTTTCTGAATTGGTGATATCTCGTTGTGTGACGAATATATAAGGCTTCATAATTTCACTTTTCGCATTAGGAAAAATGTAGTGGTTTACAACCGTCTGATTAGGAAGACACATGTGTCTCGGTGTTGACCAAATATGGAGGTTTTTCCGTATGGTCCACATATCTAGCCATAGAAATGTAGAGGTTAAATGTTGATATATAAGTGTTTAGTTTGTTGAGGGCCCATTTCAAATTAAATGTATCTTGATGAGGAGAGGCTGTAATGGTAGTGACATAGGTGTTGTTTTTGTGACGTACTTGATTATCACTATCACTTGTTATTTAACTGCATAATAGCCAGATATATTTGAGGCTTGGTACAAAACATTCTACTGCATTATTGATGCGGCTGTAAGCTTCTCAGAGATTAGCTTTTGGATTTTGATTTTTCCTTGTAATGTTATAGGGATGGATTCGTGTGGGTGTCGTTGCGGTTATTTGGTCTTTGTGAGAAAAGGCATCATGTTTTGATTCAACTGTTGGTGATGTGTCAGCTCGCTAGACAGATTCACAACTGGATAACTATATAGAAGACAAACACTCAACAGGGACATGACAGTATCTATATATAATTATCAAGAGTAGCCACTGATTTTTTTATGCAGGCGTGTGGGATGAAAAGGTCACTGACAAGAAGGTTGGGGGCTAGGTAATTAGATTGGTGCCAGACTAAAGTTGTAGTTTCTTCTAGTTTTGGAAAATATTTGTGTACGTTGTTGTGCAAATGTGTTTTGCTTGCTTCCTATGGTTATGTTCTGATGGTGTTTAAGTTTTCCCTAGTTTCATTTTTAAGTGGAGTTTGAGGTTTGTTGTAATACGTTTCACTGAAACTTGTGGACCTTGTTGATTTCATTTTATGAAATCGGGAGTGTGAGCTTCTAAGCTCGAAAAAGACGGGAAAATTTATATACCTTCAGCAATGTTTTTTGTGTTTGGCTATGACCTTTGAGCTGGACTATGATATTGCTTCTACTTGATTTTTTTTCTATATATTTTGCCATTTTTGGCTATCCATCAAAGTAGTACATGTGGTTAGATGGCTACCAGTCTATTGTTGTCCCCTTTGTCCAACAAAGATTAAACCCAGGTATTGCGTATTTTATATCTCGTTATGTCCGAATATTTTGTAGTGGGAGCGACATTCTATTGACAATGAGGTACCAACGGTGGCATCTCTAATGTTAAAACTCCATGATGGCAATAACCATTATCTGATATGCAAGTGTGTATGTGTCATGGTGATGTGTGTATGTATTTGCGTCTATGTTGTACTTGGTGTTCCTCAAAACATTTTTTTTGGATTAATTCTAAAATCATGTCCTAGCGAACGTAATAATCATGAAAAAGTAGAAACTATGTAACATGTGTAATCTTTTTTATATTTCAGGAGTTCCCAAACTTATATTCGTGTTTGTCAAAGAAACAAAGTTTGGGTTTTGGTCCCTTAACTTCAAAATTGGACATTTTGGACCTTAAATTTCGTAAACCAGGCCACTGACCTCACTTAAACCAGGCCGCTGACCGCACCCCAAGGAAAA